AAAAAATTTATTAATACAACGTTTTGAATATACAAAACACACACACAAAAATAGGTGGGAGAAAGTTGCCCACACTTTCTAACCCCAGGTCCAAATTGGCAAAATAGCCAGTGTCTGGCTGCCTCCCCAAAGATCAAACCAGGAAGATTTATAGGAGGAAAGTAGGATGAAAATAATAAGAAAAACCTGGGTAGAAACTGCAGGAAACTGTTGAGATTGTGTTTGTTATTTGTTTATTTGGGTTTTGTTTTGTTTTGAGACAAGGTCTCTCTCTGTCACCCAGGCTGGAGTGCAGTGGAGAAAACATATCTCTGTAACCTTGAACTTTTGAGCTCAATTGATCCTCCTGCCTCAGTCTCCCAATTAGCTGGGACTATAGGCATGTGCCACCACACTCGGATAATGTTTTAATTTTTTATTTTTTTTTTTAGAGATGGGGTCTCACTATGTTGCCCAGGCTGGTTTTGAATTCCTGGGCTCAAGGGATCCTCCTGCCTCAGCCTCCCAGAGTGCTAGGATTACAGGCGTGAGCCACCACACCCAGCCCTGTTGGTATTGTTTGTGTGTGGGGGAATGGCATAGACATACGTACAGCTCTAACAGATGCTGCCAAACAATTTTCCAAAGTGATTCCTCCAGTTTAACCCCCGCCCCCGCCTTATGTTAATGATCCAATTGCTCCATACCCTCATTAGCACTTGGTATTGCTGCCTTTTTTATTTTAGCTAAACTGACGTTTTTAAAAGAGGTTAACTGGTTTTTTAAAAGAGATTAAAATTTGTTCACATTTTTATCATCCACTCGTTTATCCTCTTTTGTGTAGGATCTATTCAAGTCCTCACCCATTTTCCAAGTGGACTTTTTATTTGGTTTTTTATTATTTTTGTCTGTTTAGCTGACATAATTCTTTATGTATTCAGGCTTGATATACTTCACTGGATGTAAGAAATGCAAATATCTTCTCCCACTCTGTGGCTTCCCACCCCCTTCCTCTTACTGATGAGTTTTGATGAATAGCAGCTCTTAATATATCATGATATGATCCAGGTTATAACTCTCTCCTTTCCATTGTGAGTTTTATTGTAGCAAAAGGAAAAGCCGTCACCTCATTGATGATGACGCTGCTCTTCTACCTATTTTTAAATTAAAGCTATTTGTTGTGTTTTACATTTAGAGCTGCAATTAGAATGTAAGAAACCTTTGGAGAGGTGCGAATGGAAACATTTCATCGTTTGCAGACTTGAATTAGAAAAAAAATATTAGAGTGAGGTCTCAGGTCCAAAGGGAAACAATCCCAGATTGAAAACTAAAAATGCAGGAACAAAGGAAGAGGACAGAAAGAATAAAATATAGAAAAATGTTAACGAAGATTGTTTTTGTGAAGCAATCCTAGAAGGGTTTTTATGGAGAACAAAATATATGTAGAATTAATATGCATGACAACATTCACACAAAAGTCAGAAAAGGCAAAAACAGAATGAAAAGTGCTGTAAGGTATTAGCATTTGGAGGGAGGGATTAAAGTAATGATTTGTTTCAAACTGTATAAAGGATTCATGATTTAATCATTAGCATAACTACACAGATTCATATGTGATTGTGACTAACAAGTTTACAGAGAGAACAATAATATAATACAATATTTAATTCAAAGGCAGTCAAGTAAAGGACAAAAGGAACATGAATCAGTTAAGTAAAATCCTAGGGAAAGAGTAAAATGATCAAAATAATCTCAAATTTATCGATAATTACATGAAACGTAAATGGACAAAATTATAATCCCTTTGTAACGGTTGTGGGATATATTCTACAAGATTGCGAATAACTGTGTTGGCCATTCTTTTTTGATGAACGTTTAAATGGTCTTTAATTTTTCTTATTAAAACAAATATGGCATGAAAATTTCTGTATATAGAAATTTCCATTCCTACTTTTATAAAATGTATTCAAAGATGCTGAGGTACTGGCAGGAAAAGGAAACATATGTAAAACGCTGATCTTAACTGGAAATACCACGCCCCCACACAAACGTATTAAACTTTTTCTTTTCTCGACACTGTTTGACAGTGTGAGTAACCCCCCAAAATTTTGATTTTGTATGAAGACTTAGGAATATCGCAGACTCCCTGGATTGAAGACAGGATGTCTCCTCTGGATTTTTCCCCGGATTGGATTATCCACACTCCTCCCCTATAAAAGAAGAGCCAGATGAGGAAGTTCACCGCATTTTCCAGCAAACGTCAGGACGTCTGCATCTCACGAGTGGAGCTGTGAGGATGAACCCTACAACCGTGGAGGAACCC